GTGCACTGTGTTGTTCCCAGGGCTGGTTGCTGTGGGAGAGAAGGCCCAGAAGAGATCCGGCCATTACGTGGTGATGAAGGATCTTTCAGGTGAGAGTTTTCCCCAAATCCCGCGGTTGCCAAAGGCTGCTCCGATTCTGAGGCCTGTGCTGTGTGTGCAGGGAAGCACCCGGTGTCTGCGCTGATGGAGATCTGCAACAAGAGGAGGTGGACACCGCCCGAGTTCGTGTTGGTGGACGACAGTGGGCCTGATCACCGCAAGCATTTCATCTTCAAGGTGGGTCTGGGCTGCCTCAGCTGCTGCTGATTCCGCTGTCCCAGGGCAGGGAATTCCTGATCCTGTTGGGATGGAAACATCTCGGCCACCTCAGGGTGGCCGAGGATGGTAAGTTGGTGCCAGGGCTGGAGCCCCTCTGCTCTGGGACAGGCTGGGAGAGCTGGGGGGGCTCACCTGGAGAAGAGAAGGATCCAGGGAGACCTGAGAGCCCCTTGCAGGGCCTAAAGGGGCTCCAGGAGAGCTGGAGAGGGACTGGGGACAAGGGATGGAGGGACAGGACACAGGGAATGGCTTCCCACTGCCAGAGGGTGGGGATAGTTGGGATTTGGGGAAGGAATTGCTGGCTGGGAGGGTGGGAGGGGCTGGGATAGAATTCCCAGAGAAGCTGTGGCTGCCCCTGGATCCCTGGAAGTGCCCAAGCTGGGGCTTGGGGCAGCCTGGGCTGGTGGAAGGTTGGAAGGTGTCGCTGCCCACGGCACTGGGTGGGCTTTGGGGTCCCTCGGAGGCAGCCCCGCTGTGGGTGCCTGGAGGGGCTGTGGGGGCAGCCGTGGGTGGCTCTGCCCCCTGCGAGGGGTTCCCTCAGCCCTGCGAGCCCTCCCAGCGCCCGTGTCGCTGTCCCCAGGTGAGAGTGAACGGCAACGAGTACCGGCCCACCTTTGCCAGCCTTAACAAGAAGCACGCGAAGGCCACGGCGGCCACGGCGGCGCTGCAGGCGATGGGGCTCGTACCAAAGGAGAGCATGGTCAACACCACCATGTTCAGGAGTGCCTCCCACCGCTGAGCCCGGCCCGGCCCGCGCTGCTCCGCTCTCCGCGACCGCCCCTCGGGTTGTAAATACGTCGGCAGTTCCCACCTTGTAAAAACTGTACAGACGCCCACAGGTTTTTTTCTTTTGTACCATCCAAATGTATTTAAATCATACTTAGTTTTTGGTATGTTTATATTGTTTACATTAGTGATGTAATTATTTCTTAAACGACTAAATCGGAGGACAGGCTCTGGAGGCATCGGTAACCGAACCCTTGGCTAAAGCTCCCGCAGCTCCTCTCTCTGTGGAATGCTGACGCTTGGAGGTCCCTGGGGAGCACAGGGTTGACCCCCTGGCCCTGCCCCGGGGGGCCCTCAGTGGCCACCTGCGCTCCAGGACGGCCGTGCGAGCGACGAGAGGCTGCCGGGGGGACACGGAGGTGACTCCGGCATGTCCCAGGACAGAGGGGCTGTTCCCAACCAGTGAACTCACTGCCTGATGCTGATTGTACGGATTTGTGGTTCATGTGAATTTTAAACTTTACCAGATCTACAACTGGACTGGGGGGGAGGGGTAGGATGACGCTTCAATTGTTGTACCCGACTTGGTCAATAAAGCAGCACAAGTTCATAATCTGCACCCCTGGTCAGCAGACGGTAATTCCAGTGGATGCCAAGCCAGGAAACGGGAATTGGAATATGCCAGAACGCCTCCTGGAAGAAACGCACAGTGTGGAAGTGGCTTTGGGAGGATTCTCAACAGCCATGGGGCGGCAGGAGCAGGTCTGGTTGTTTTTGTTGCTTTGACCTGTTACAAAATAACTCCTTGAACTTAACATTTCCTTGAGGATCCTGTGCCCCCAAGGAGAGCCCTGGGCAGTTGGACGGGAGAGGATGTAGAGGATGTAGAAAGCTTTTCCTCCTCATTACTCTGTCTTTTATTTGAGAAGTATCAGTCCTTTGCCTGCGTGCCCGTGAAAGTGGGCAGGGCCCTGCACCCTTCCTGCCAGCTCTGAGTGGGGAGCAGAGTGCCAGGACTGCTGGACTGGGATAGTTCAGGTGTTCATTCCAGAGAAGTTTTTTTGAGCTGTTGTATCCGAGCTGGGCCTGGGGCAGGAATTGCTGGTGCCCGGAGTCATGTGTATCCCATCAGTGTCACAGAACAAGGTCTGTCCTTGCCCTGAGGGGACAGGGGTTGGTGTCTCTTGTGCAGCAGCAATGGGGTTGGTTTGCAGACTAAAGAGCCCCTCTGAGTCTGTCCAAGCGCTCTGGAAATGCTTCAGTTGATCTTCATTTTCATGGACGTTGTTGTCTTGAATTAAACTTTTTTCCCTTTGGCTTCTCGCCTTCAGTCTCTCCCTGAGTGTTTGGAGCTTCTCCAGGCCGTGGCTGAACTGCTGGGAAGGTGTGAGATCCAGAGGAAACCTGGCATTCTGTCTCAGCCCTTGTGTGCAGGATCCATCCGGGGCTGGAGCAGCTCCCGACCAGACCTGGGGCTTTGACAGAGCTGAGGCCTCGGAGCTGCTGAGGATCCTGTTCCTGTGGCAGCTCCGGGTTCACAGCAGGACTCGATCCAGTTTGGGAATGTACAGTCTCCTGGACTTGCTCTGTTCCTTCTTTGGTGTCCCTGCTCCCTGGGTTAAGGTAAAGACCTGAGTTCTCTCCTGACAGCAGAGATATCCAGTCCTACTGGAGGCTCCATTTAAAAGATACGTGAAAGGGGTGAAAATAGTCATGGAACCATGGAAAATCCTGAGCTGGAAGGACCATCCAGTCCAAGCCCTGGCCCTGCCCAGGACACCCCAACAGTCCCCCCCAACAGTCCCTCCTGTCCCTGAGAGTGTTGTCCAGCGTTCATTAATTGCTGCTGGATTTGTTATGGATAAATGCAGGAAATAATGAAATGGGACTGTGCTGCCCTGCCCTCCCCAGAAAGAGGGACACTCCCTACTTAATGCTCCAAGTGTCTCTGTGTGTCCTGAGGGAGGGCCTGGGGCGAGGTTGGAGTCGGTGACAGCAGTCCCTGTAGAGCCACAGCGTGACCATCCCTGCATATTCCTGGGCCAGGACACTTCCTGTGCTGGGGATAAACAGCAACTGGAGGCAGAGGAAGCTTTTCCTGCCTCAGGCTGCAGTGGCTGCCATTGGAAAAGCCCTCCCAGCCCACGGATCCCCCTGTGCCCCATCCCCACCTTGTCCCCCAGCCCAGAGCACTGAGTGCCACGGCCAGGCCTGCCTTGGACACCTGCAGGGCTGGGCACTCCAAACCTCCCTGGGCAGCCCCTGCCAAGGCCTCACCACCCTTTCCAGGAGGAAATTCCCCCTGAGCAGGTGCTGCAGCCATTTAATCCCTCCCCCTTGTTGTGATCCAGGTGTAGTTCACACAAAAGACTCCCTTTAACCCCAGGCTGGGGGTGGGAGTGGGAGCTATTCTGAGCAGCTCTGGGGAATATCCACCTTACCTGGATCCAGCTGCAGCCACAACTCCCTGACCCCCGTCCATCCCTGTGGAGCTCAGGGCCCACTCCAAGACAAGGTACTGCACTCGTGGCTGGGTGCTGGGAGCAGCCTGGGAACGGGTGTTGCCAAGGATTCCACCCATCCATACAATCTCAGAAGGTCTGGGCTGGAAGGCACTGTGAAGCTCCTCTCGTTCCAATCCCCTGCCAAGGGGGGTTCTAGTTCCAAACTGGTTATAAGTTCCCACCTGGAGCAGGAATTCCATACTTGGAACAGACGGTGCCTGTGCTGGGGGAGCACAGACCTGCCTGCAAACCACACCCATAAAATTAGGAGTTTTATTTTAAAAAGACTTTCTAAAATACAAAAGGAGAAGCCCAAAGCCTCTCTCTGTTAAAAGTCCTTGGAAGTTTCTGTGGAACAGTCGGTGTCTGGGATGTCCCTCCCAACCTGCCCACACAGCCCTGAGCACGGCACACCTGGAACATCCTGCTCCAGGGAATGGAGCCAGCATTCCTAGGCCTTCCAGGTATATGCATAGTCCTTCATCTCCAGGAAGCGGATGGCAGATTTTCCCAGGGTTGGACACTGCCTCAGCTGATCCAGAGTCTTGGGATGCAGTCCACATGCAGGGAGGTCCTGGTGTGATCCCTCATCCTCCTGTGGGGATGCACAGCAAGGACACACACGTGGGACAGGGGTTTCTGTGCTTCCAAACATGCCCTTGGACACCCCTGGGGAGCTCCCCCTCTTCTGATTATCCCATTTCTGAGGGAATGACAAGCCACAGGGACTGCCAGTGGTGATCACAGGGTAAGGTTTGTGTCTCAGCTTTGTGTCCCAGCCCCGTTCCCAGGGCAGGTGTTGGTGTCCTGTTCCCTCCCCTTTCCCAGGGCAGGTGTTGGTGTCCCAGCCCCGTTCCCAGGGCAGGTGTTGTGTCCCATTCCCTCCCCGTTCCCAGGGCAGGTGTTGGTGTCCCTTTCCCTCCCCGTTCCCAGGGCAGGTGTTGTGTCCCATTCCCAGGGCAGGTGTTGGTGTCCCATTCCCAGGGCAGGTGTTGGTGTCCCAGCCCCGTTCCCAGGGCAGGTGTTGGTGTCCCAGCCCCGTTCCCAGGGCAGGTGTTGTGTCCCATTCCCTCCCCGTTCCCAGGGCAGGTGTTGGTGTCCCAGTTCCCTCCCCGTTCCCAGGGCAGCCCGTGCTCACCTGCACGGGGCCAGGGCAGGCGTTGAAGGCGGCGCTGGGCTGGTGTGTGCTGAGCAGGGCGCGGAAGGCCCCGCGCTGGGCCGGGCCCAGCAGCCGTGTGAGCGCCCGCAGGGCGTGGGGCAGGACCGGCCCCAGCACCTCCAGGCTGAACGCGTCCTCCGAGCCCCCCGGCACCCGCGCACGGCCGCTGCGAGCCTGCGGGCACAGCAGGGATCAGCGAGACCTCACACGGCACGGCCAACCCCACCCACTGACACCGCGGGACACGGAAACACCTCCCGACAGTGCCAATCCCCGCTCAGTGCACCGGGACGGGGATGGTTTTGCTCCTAAAATGCACCACCTGGAGTGCAGGAATGCTGTAGGGATTGTAGAAGTGCAAAGGACAGGATGAACTTCTCTGGTGGGACAAGCAGCTCATCCTGTGCTAACTGGGCAGAAATTCCTGGCTGGGAGGGTGGGCAGGCCCTGGCACAGGTTGGGCAGAGAAGCTGTGGCTGCCCCTGGATCCCTGGAAGTGTCCCAGGCCAGGTTGGACGGGGCTTGGAGCAGCCTGGGCTGGTGGAAGGTGTCCCTGCCCATGGCAGGGGTGGCACTGGATGATCCTTAAGGTCCCTGCCAGTCCCAGTGTCCCCTTACAGGAACAGATGTTGAGTGGTGGCTCAGAGGCTGTTCCTGTGCAAAGGGCCAGGGCAGTCTCAGACCCCACAAGAGCTCAGGAGGAACCTCTGAGCCACCCTTTCCCCCAGGGTGGTTCTGCTCAGCCTGTGGGGAGGGGCAGGAAGGGAACACGGGTGATGTCAGGGCAGCACAGGGACGTGTGTGGGTGGGGGGGCTTCAGGAACAGGCTGGACTGCAGACAAGAGGCTGCCTCGGGCTGGAGCCCCAACACCTCCTGTGAGGTGCCTGAGGAAAGGCCCCACGTCAGGGGTGAGGAAACAGCCCTGTGGCAGGGCCAGGGCCTCACCTTGAGCGTGTGCAGGGTGCCCCCCCGGAAGGCCACGGGGGACAGCAGGGTGGGGGGCAGCCCCGCCTGCGGCCCCGCCACGGCCACCAGGCTGCGGCAGTTGATGAGCAGGTTCAGCAGGGTCAGCGTGTCGCAGCCTCTCACCAGCGCCAGCGACTCAGGCCGGTGATCCACCCGCACCTCCTGCTTCTCCTTGCGGCTGCCAGCGGGAGTCACGGGAAAACCTCGGCCAGGCGGGAGGGAGCCGCGGCAGAGCCCCCCCTGCCCCTCGGACCCAGCCAGTCCTTCAAGCAAACAGCAAAGCCCAAGAGCCAGAGCCCACCACGTCTGCACTGACTTGTTCTCTTAATGTTAAGCAGCATCTTAACCCTGGCTTCAGATTCCCAGAATTGTGAAGATGCTCAAGAAGACATGCACAGTCTCCTAACGTGCAGGAATGTGAGGATTCCTATTTGGGAGATAGCTCTCAAAAGCCCTCAGAGAACTTAAATCTTGACCATAGCACTGTAACAGCTGCAGGGTTTCCCAGTGTTGCACCTCTGGAGGTGCAAAGGAAGGATACAGTTGGATGGAAACAGCATCTGGTTTCTTCACCTCGTCTTGCACTCCCATCTCCTCGAGCCAAGAGAAACTTTCCTCATCATCATCATTATCATCGCTCAGAGCTGGTTCCCTGGAAGGCACAGGATCACTGTCAGCAGGGCAGCCCCTCCGAGGAGGGTTTTCCAAACGGGCTGTGCAGGAGCCTGGAGATGCCCCTGACTTGTGGCACTGCACGGGGTTGTTACTCACCCTTCATCCTCCGCACTGCTGCCCCCTCTGAGGCCGCCAGGCCCGTCTGTTCCCAGACTGTCCTCAGAGCCTTTCTGTCTCCTGGCTCTTTCTTCCAGGAAAGGCAAGGAGAACTCTATGCCTGGAGCAGAGGAGAGCAGTGAGCGGTTCCGAGGCACAGCCCCCGCCCCGTGTGAGCCCCGCCCGTCCCGGCAGGAGGGGCTGCACTTGCCTTCACTCCTCAGGGCCTCCCTGAAGCCGCGGGTGGTGGGGGCGATGGCGGCGGTGGGGACGGCGCTGCCCCCCAGCCCCGCGGCGCGGAACAGCACCGAGAACTGCGGGCAGCACACGTAGAAATAGGGACAGAGCCCCGCCTTGAGCAGCCGGTACAGCGAGGAGAAGCTCACACACCTGGCAACGAGCGGCAACAGCTGTCACAGCACGCACCTCTGGGCTGCTGACACTGCCCAGGGACCTGGGACAAGGCATGGAGGGACAGGACACAGGGAATGGCTTCCCAGTGCCGGAGGGCAGGGATAGATGGGATATTAGGAAGGAATTGCTGGCTGGGAGGGTGGGCAGGCCCTGGCACAGGTTGGGCAGAGAAGCTGTGGCTGCCCCTGGATCCCTGGAAGTGTCCCAGGCCAGGTTGGACGGGGCTTGGAGCACCCTGGGCTGGTGGAAGGTGTCCCTGCCCATGGCAGGGGGTGGAACAAGAAGATCCTTCAAATCCCTCCCATCCCAAACCATCACGTGATTCTGAGATTAATTAAAATCCCATTGTCTTAATCTTACCAAATACATCCATAACTGGGTTCCACTCACCAGTCGCTCCTGAGCACTTGCTGCAAGGCCTCATCCTGTGCCCAAGGACAAGCCTTTCCAGCTATTTTCCTGTCAGCCCCAATCCGAGGGAACAGCGGCAGCCACGGCAGGGATGGGTGGAGCCAGTACACGAGGCTCTGCTGAAAGGCACAACGCAGCTCCGTGGACAGCTGCGGTTCCTGGAGATCCAAGAGCGTTTGAGGAGGACAGGAAAGCTGCCAGACACAAAGCTGGAGCTCCAGCCACCATTCCAGCTCTCACCTGCACACTCGGGGGCAAGGTGGTTTCTGTAGCTCTACAGTGCTGAGCAAGTCCCTGAGCTTCCTCTTGTGCTTTTAGATGTTCTGTCCAGGTGAAAGGTTGGGGAGACATGAATAGAATCCGTGTTTTAATACTCCAGTCTGCAGGGAAGTCCTGCCTTGGTGAGGAGGGAACCTTGGGTACAGCAGTAGGTAAATGAAGATCCTGTCCAAAAAGAAACAGCATTAGTTCACTCGCAGAAAATTAAACCTGTTCACAGGTGGAACCAAAGGTACACTTTAGACTCAGCTGATTATTTCAGTCAGTACCAGATTCTAATAGAAATAATCCATTCTATTGCTTATAAAACCAAACAAGAAGGTTTTCATTACAGGAGTCTTTCCAGCAATCATAAACAAGAACAGATCA